AAATAGAGCAAATATTATAAATAACTGAGTACGATACTGCAACGACATGCATTGCTGTAGCTTAAAGAAATCTTTTTTAGATTTCCTTAGTTTACATTTTCACCATCACGAAATTATTATATGGAGGCACAATAAGGTTTATATATATATATACATATTTACAATTTAACATCAAACGATAATCCAATTACAATGTGATAAAAAGAAAAAAAAGTAAAAAAGGCACTCTCGTACAATAACATTAGTTGATATTTTCTTTTCTTCTTTTTAATCACATTGTAATTGTATTATTCTTTGATGTTACAAAGTTGTAAATATATGAATATATAAATCGTATGTTGTCTTCCTATCCGAGTGCACGATTTACCGACCGCGGATTTACTGTCCGTTGATTAGATAAAATTCATTCCAATTAACGAATTTTTGGTGTGATGATTTACTGTCCGTTGATTGAAGAAAAAAAATATTCCAATTAGTGTTTTTCGTGTGTGAGGATTTACTGTCCATTGATTAAAACGCGAGAGAGAAATGAAATGAATATTCATTACGGGAATCAACAAAAAATTCCCAAACGAAAGAAATAATCATCAATAAGCAAATAAGGCATTAAATTTCTAATTGTGAATAATTGTGAATGAGTAGTACCCATTTAATTAAAACAAAAAAAAATAATCATTATAATACTAATTTTTGTGAAAATGTATATAAAAATGAATATGTTGAATCTTGTTTGCCTATTTTTCTTCAAAATGTCTGCTAAATTTGTTGAATCTACACATGGAAAATGACAATTATGTTATAATGGTTATCGCTATGGTTTGAAACGTAAAAACGAAAACGGTTCTGAATATTGGTCATGTGTTAAATGTCAAGCAACAGCAACAAGTTATTCAGATTCCACTGTCGTAGAACGTGGTGAACACACACATTTACCTGATGAAACTGATAAAGATATATTAGAAATGCGACAAAATTTGAAGCGCAAAGCTGTAGAAGAATCTGGTCCAATAGATCGTATGGTAGAAGAAGCATTTCATGCAATTGATCACCAATGGCAATCAAAAGATTTAATTGTGAATTTACCGGCGATTCGTACAATGAAAAATACTTTACAAAAGCAACGTCGCAAAACTCGTCCACCAATTCCTCACACAATTGAAAAACTTCCATTTCCATTACCCGACGCATATTGCAAAACAGCACATGATGATCAATTTCTGTTTTATGATGGACCACTTGGTGATATTCGTTCACTTATTTTTTGCTCTTACAATGATTTGCTGTATTTATCACAACACGAAGATTGGTATTGTGATGGTACATTTTATACATGTCCATCAATTTTTTATCAAATTTATTCAATTCATGTTTACCATGATGGAATCTCAACACCTTGCATTTTTGCTTTACTTGGAAGCAAATCTGAAGTAGTTTATAATGATCTATTTACAGTGATATTCAGAAAAATGTTTGAATTCAACTTAACTATTAGATTAAGAACGGTAACGATTGATTTTGAATTAGGTGTTTATAATGTATTTAAGAAAAATTATTCAACTGTTATTGTTCGTGGATGTTTATTTCATTATGGGCAACGTTTATTTCGCAAGTTTGTCGATTTAGGTTTAAAGGTGTCTTACAATAATGATGAAAATCTTCGTGACTGGTTTAGGTCATTTGCAGCATTATCTTTATTACCATTAAATCATATGTTATGGGGTTTACAATATTTAATTCAAAATCGACCTGAATATCCAGGTATTCAAGAATTCCTTACTTATTATCATACTACATATGGACCATTCAGCAAATTTCCACCACATATGTATAATCATTATCGTAATATTACACCACGTACAATTAATTATTTGGAAGGTCGTCATTCTAGAATGAAGAAACATGTTAATGCTCCACATCCAAATATTTAAATTGTTATCGACTTACTGAAAAAAGAACAATCATTAGCATCGATGACAAGAATTAGAGATGACATGGGTGCGCCAACTCGAAAACGTCGAAAAAATAAAGTTATTACAGATGAATTTTTATTAAAATTGTGGCAACGTTATGATGAAAGTCATCTTGATATTCCAGCATTTTTGAAAGCTGCTGGACTTCGATATTTTCAACGCCCATCGAAACGCTAAATCGTCGTCTTTTTGTTATTTATTCATATATTTACTGTTGATTTTTTTTGTTCTTATTAACATTGATTCTCGTTATGAATATTCGCTTCATTTCTCTCTCTCATATTAATCAACGGACAGTAAATCATCACACACGAAAAACACTAATTAGAATAATTTTTTTTTCAATCGACGGACAGTAAATCCTCACCAACAAAAATTTCAGTTTTTCGAGAAAAAATTCAATTAAAATAGAAAATCAATCAACGGTCAGTAAATCCGCGGTCGGTAAATCGTGTAAACCCTTCCTATCATCATTTCTTGATGATGAGAATTCAAATTTAAGGAAATCTCAATAACAAAAATTCATTAAAAATTAAAAAAAAGTGCTTTTCCTTTGCAGTATCATACTCTGTGGTTTCTAAATAGAGCAAATAGCGATGGATAGATAATGATACAATAAGAATTGAGGCTATTTCTGAAGTCAAACAATGGTCAATGTTTTGCTTAGAACTGTCATGCTACCTTTGTTTCATATTATCAACAGTGTTACAAATCGTTTGAGACGAAGTCATAACATCTTATTAGAAGAGAATGTTTTCAAAATGCTC